GAATAATGTCCCCCTGTGTTGATTTATTTTTACTTTAAACTGAGTGTCCACGGGACAGAACCGGGACAGGTAAAAAACACGAGTGAAGATCGCGTTACTTCCCTTGTTAACACTATCACCCTCGACCTTCAACCTCACTGACCCTCGACCTCACGTGACCTGGATCAGCCTAACACAGTATGGTGTGTTCTCTCAACTTGAGGCAGCACAGTCGGCTCCCAGCTGTGTCGCCTAGACCAGTCTTGTCGCATAGACCAACCCAGCCGCCGTGTCGGGTTTAGCTGGGTCTCCTAGTGGATAGACCAACCCAGCTTTCGTGTCGGGTTGCAGGTTTGTTGTGGTAGAAGCGAGCAGACCAGTGCAGAAACCATGGCATCGGCCACGTACCCGCCCTTTCAGCTGGACAGGCCAAGGTTTGATCAGGTGACTATCTTTGCTGCCTCACACCACACATACCAGATACACCACACATACAGGATACACCACACATACAAGATACACCCCACATACAAGATACACCCCACATACCAGATACACCCCACATACAGGATACACCCCACATACCAGATACACCCCACATACAAGATACACCCCACATACCAGATAAACCACACATACAGGATATACCACACATACAAGATACACCACGCATACAGGATACACCTCACATACAGGATATACCACACCTACAAGATACACCCCACATTCAAGATACACCACACATACAAGATACACCACACATACAAGATACACCACACCTACAGGATACACCACACCTACAAGATACACCACACATACAAGATACACCGGCTCTACTGGCAAATCCGGACGAAGAATAAACAGCCTTGGACGACTTAGTCAGAGTTATCTCCCGTCGCCGCACTCCAAACAGTGATCGGAAAAGCCACAACGAAACAAAGAAGACAGTCACGTCGACATCAGGGCTGCCAATGCTTGGTTGTTTCCCCCAGATCTGGGTTTTTTTTCGACGCTGCAGGACAATTCTGGGTGGTTTTTTTGTGTGTGGGTGTGTTTTGTTTGTTCGTGTTTGCCGATTTGTATGCTTTAATGATCGATAAATTTGCGTGGTTAGGGGGGTAGGGGTTAGGGTTAGGGAGTAGGATTAGGATTAGGGTTAGCGGTAGGGTTAGGATTAGCGTTAGATTTGACAGTTTTGACGCCGGAGTTCCCTATAATCGCGCACAGTCCCATACACACACACAAACAATCGAGGGCCTCTGGATGCTGGTCACACGCACAATTCGCAAACGATTGTGGGCACCAGCCGCACGCTATTGGCGTCATATTTGGCAGAGTTTCAGTGGCGCCACTCCCACAAACATCATATTGTCGGCCAGTATTTCGAAATCCTACGTCAAAATTTTCACATCTAACCCTAACCCTAACACTACCCCTAACCCTACCCCTACCCCTTACCCTAACCCTACCCCTAACCCTAACCCTAACCCTTCCCCTACCCCTAACCCTACCCCTACCCCTACCCCTAACCCTACCCCTAACTATAATCCAACAACCGCATGATGATGACTACACAACCATTCACAGTGCCTCACGCAACCGTACGCAACTGTGCACGCAACCATATGATGATGCAACGATGTCTCACGCAACCGTACGCAGCCCTACACGCAACCGCAGGATGATAGGTAAGTGTGTCGTTTGTTTCGTTTGTTTTCCGATTACTGTTCGGAGTGCGGCGACGGGAGATAACTCTGACTAAGTCGTCCAAGGCTGTTTATTCTTCGTCCGGATTTGCCAGTAGAGCCGATACACCGCACATACAAGATACACCACACCTACAAGATAGACCACACACACACACAGATACACTACACATAAGGAGACACCACACATACAAGACACACTACACATACAGGATACACCACACATACAGGATACATCACACATATAGGATACACCACACATACAGGATACACCACACCTACAAGATACACCACACCTACAAGATACACCACACATACAAGATACACCACACATACAAGACTCACTATACATACACAAGGACAATAGAACTGACAGAGACACCAGAACAGACAGGGACAATATAAAACCAGTAAACCCGGGAAGGCTAACCGGGTCAACAAATGCCAGCAGAAGTCGAATGTGTTGGCCGAAAGGTGCAAATATCGCAGCCATGCTGTAAACGGACACAACACATTTACATCTTCAGGTGAACGCAGAAGAAGAAGAAATCAGTAAAAAAAAAACACACACACACACATGTTACAGCACATATGCATCTTGCAGCACAAACACATTTGTTACAACACACATACTTTTTTAACACACACACATATGTTACACCACACACACATGTTATAGCACACAAACACACACAAAACACACACACATACACATGTTACAGCACAAAAATGTTACAACAAACACATATGTTGCAGCACACACATGTTACAGCACACACTTGTTACAGCACACACATGTTGCAGCAAACACATGTAACAGCACACACATGTTACAGCACACACATGTTACAGCACACACATGTTACAGCACACACATGTTACAGCACACACATGTTACAGCAAAGGCATGTAACAGCACACACATGTTACAGCACACACATGTTACAGCAAAGGCATGTAACAGCACACATATGTTACACATATGTTGACTGTCCAGCATGTAGCAATGGTTAGCTTATCCCAGCTGACTGTCTAGCATATAGCAATTGTTATCTTATTCCTGGCAACAGTTGATAACAAAAGTTGATTACACAAGTTGATGTTTGAGATTTTCTGAGGAATGTCTACATCTGCCAACAGAGTACTTTCCTGGGAAGACTGCGGCATTTCCTGGATGTCATTGACCCCAGGACACTGCTGACGTCTCCGGTAAGTGAGTATTTTTGTATTTTATGGACCTCATGTTGTCTTCTTCCTCTTTCTCTTCTTCCTCTTCTTCTTCTTCCTCTTCTTCCTCTTCCTCTTCTTCTTCTTCCTCTTCTTCCTCTTCCTCTTCTTCCTCTTCTTCCTCTTCCTCTTCTTCTTCTTCCTCTTCTTCCTCTTCTTCGGCTTCTTCCTCTTCTTCCTCTTCTTCCTCTTCCTCTTCTTCTTCTTCCTCTTCTTCCTCTTCCTCGGCTTCTTCCTCTGAGTGTTCTGCAGCTGTAGACTCCAGGCAGAAATTTCTGGTCGTTCGTCCACTTCTGGACTTTACATAGATCCACCACATGCCAAACATTGCCGATCCACCACATGCCAAACATTGCCGATCCACCACATGCCAAACATTGCCGATCCACCACATGCCAAACATTGCGGATTCAGGAGGTAGAATATTAACAAGTGACAAGGAGAAAGGGCAAGATATTGTTCAGATGTTATTTAATCCAAATGGATAAAGGCAATAGGACAGCACATCACAACACTCTAGAGAATCTCAGGCATAGCACTGTCAAGGACAACATATATAAAGACTGGGTTGCTGAAGTTGACATACAGGTTGCATTTGAGGCACCAGTAATAATGCTCTAGGGCCAGATGGTTAAGCTATGGCCATATCAAACAATTAAATAGTGATTAAATATAAGGAGTTGTGAGGGACTTTAATGATAGTATCCAGATGTCAAATGTACCAATGACTGGTTACACAGTTATCTTAAACCATTGCTGAAACCAGGCAGGGATCTCTCACAATTCAGCAGTTATAGAATCATAACCCTGCAAAATGTGTATGGCTAACTGCTGAAAAAAAATGTGGCAAAGAAAGTGATGTCACACTTAGAAAGAAAGGACATGCTACCAGACACCATGGGCAGCTACAGGCCATCAAAGCCAACATGGGACAGTGATGGAACTTTTGCTGATGATGTGTTTGAAGGATTTCAGTGAAAGCAAGAAACAGTCATGATAGATCTTGAAGATGTCTATGACAGCCTTGACTTTACTTATCTTATGCAGTGCGTGATGGACTGTGGTGTGAAACTCTTAGTTAGCTAAGTGAATGGGGCAGCACTGATGGGGAGAACAGTGGTATTTTGTTTGAGAACATGGAGATCAGATCCAATTCGCTTTTTTCCTGTCCTTCCTCAGTGATCACCATTGTTACCTGTCTTGTTTAACATGTATACAGCAAGTCTGGAAAATATTCAGCCCACTCGACCAGGGCAAACTTTGACATTTGCAGATGATGTCCTAATGTATCGAAGTGGGTCAGACAGGCACGACATGACCAGAGACTTGCAAAGTGTATTGTGTGAGATGACGGAGGGGTGTCAGCAGAAAGAGTTCAGGGTAAACACAGACAAGGCCAGTGCTTTGTGGTGCTCCTTAATCCTTTGGAGACGGTGACTTTTTTGGTGTCTCGGTGCCAAGAAACGGAGCCTTCAGAAGGGGATTCTCATAGTTTATACACAAAAAATTATAAAAAATAAAGCGTTTAATTAACATATACAAAACTCAAAACTATATATATTTGTGTAGGAAATTGAATGAACTAACAGAATATTTATGAATCAAACTGAAATCTCAACATTGATTGAAATTAACTATTATGATTTGCATAATTTATGCAAGCAGTTTTGATAAAACTTGGAAACAAACCTGGACAATTTGGGTGAATCTTTTTTATGGATGAAGCTTGAATAAGTCCTAACACCTGTATTTTGGGAATTAAGGCCCTTGGAATATGTAAACAAGTAATTAGGTGTAGGTCAGGCCAGGAGGGATGTGAGAGGAGGGATGTCAGAGGAGGGATGTGAGAGGAGGGATGTGAGAGGAGGGATGTGAGAGGAAGAATGATGTGTGCTACAAAAACAGTCAGCATCTACACCACAGGATTGCTGCATCTGTGGGTATGCACGATGTGCTGTGGTGTCAATTCTCAAACTGTTAATCAGTAATCATCCAGTTCCAGAACTTGAACATCATCCAGTTCCAGAACTTAAACATCATCCAGTTCCAGAACTTGAACATCATCCTGTTCCAGAACTTAAACATTAGCCTGTTCCAGAACTTAAACATCATCCAGTTCCAGAACTTGAACATCATCCAGTTCCAGAACTTAAACATCATCCAGTTCCAGAACTTAAACATCATCCAGTTCCAGAACTTAAACATCATCCAGTTCCAGAACTTAAACATCATCCAGTTCCAGAACTTAAACATCATCCAGTTCCAGAACTTAAACATCATCCAGTTCCAGAACTTGAACATCATCCAGTTCCAGAACTTGAACATCATCCTGTTCCAGAACTTAAACATCATCCTGTTTCAGAACTTGAACATCATCCTGTTCCAGAACTTAAACATTAGCCTGTTCCAGAACTTAAACATTAGCCTGTTCCAGAACTTAAACATTAGCCTGTTACAGAACTTAAACATCATCCTGTTCCAGATCTTAAACATTAGCCTGTTCCAGAACTTAAACATTAGCCTGTTCTAGAACTTAGACATTAGCCTGTTCTAGAACTTAAACATTAGCCTGTTCTAGAACTTAAACATTAGCCTGTTCTAGAACTTAAACATTAGCCTGTTCCAGAACTTAAACATTAGCCTGTTCCAGAACTTAAACATTAGCCTGTTCTAGAACTTAGACATTAGCCTGTTCTAGAACTTAAACATTAGCCTGTTCTAGAACTTAAACATTAGCCTGTTCTAGAACTTAAACATTAGTCTGTTCTAGAACTTAAACATTAGCCTGTTCTAGAACTTAAAGATGTTGGGTATCTGGGTGATATGTTGGGTGTCTGGGTGAGATGTTGGGTGTCTGAGTGAGATGTTGGGTATCTGGGTGACATGTTGGGTGTCTGAGTGAGATGTTGGGTGTCTGGGTGAGATGTTGGGTGTCTGAGTGAGATGTTGGGTGTCTGTGTGAGATGTTGGGTGTCTGAGTGAGATGTTGGGTGTCTGAGTGAGATGTTGGGTGTCTGAGTGAGATGTTGGGTGTCTGAGTGAGATGTTGGGTGTCTGAGTGAGATGTTGGGTGTCTGAGTGAGATGTTGGGTGTCTGAGTGAGATGTTGGGTGTCTGAGTGAGATGTTGGGTGTCTGAGTGAGATGTTGAGTGTCTGAGTGAGATGTTGGGTATCTGGGTGACATGTTGGGTGTCTGAGTGAGATGTTGGGTGTCTGGGTGACATGTTGGGTGTCTGAGTGAGATGTTGGGTGTCTGAGTGAGATGTTGAGTGTCTGAGTGAGATGTTGGGTGTCTGAGTGAGATGTTGGGTGTCTGGGTGAGATGTTTGGTGTCTGGATGAAACATTAAGTGTCAGTGTGATATGTGGAGTTTTGTTTGATCACTGACATCTGCTCTGATAGCTACAGGTTCTGTGTTGGTTGAAAGTTGGGCCAAGTTTGAAAATTCTCAACTGAAATGACTGATGGCACTGACAGGTGAACAACAAACCAAAGCTGGATCTGTACACACAGAAATCCAAGCAAGCAGTAGACAAATCCATTTATAGAGACACAATCTATACATATATAGAATCATTGAATGGAATCCACTAGGAGAGCTGTACCCACAGATACCCCTGTGTATAGAACCATTGAATGGAATCCACTAGGAGAGCTGTACCCACAGGTACCCCACGTGTATAAAACCATTGAATGGAATCCACTAGGAGAGCTGCACCCACAGATACCCCAGGTGTATAGAACCATTGAATGGAATCCACTAGGAGAGCTGTACCCACAGATATCCCACGTGTATAGAACCATGGAATAGCATCCACTAGGAGAACTGTACCCACAGATATCCCATGTGTATAGAACCATGGAATAGCATCCACTAGGAGAGCTGTACCCACAGATATCCCAGGTGTATAGAACCATGGAATAGCATCCACTAGGAGAGCTGTACCCACAGATATCCCAGGTGTATAGAGCCATGGAATAGCATCCACTAGGAGAGCTGTACCCACAGATACCCCAGGTGTATAGAATCATTGAATGGAATCCACTAGGAGAGCCGTACCCACAGATACCCCAGGTGTATAGAGCCATGGAATAGCATCCACTAGGAGAGCTTTACCCACAGATATCCCAGGTGTATAGAACCATTGAATGGAATCCACTAGGAGAGCTGTACCCACAGATACCCCAGGTGTATAGAATCATTGAATGGAATCCACTAGGAGAGCCGTACCCACAGGTACCCCACGTGTATAGAACCATGGAATTTGTTACAGAGTAATCACTGCAGCCAAAAGTGATCTGCTAGTTTAATTAGAAAGATTTTTGTACAGTTGTGTTAATTAAAGCATGGGTTAGCACAAGCAGATACAAACTGTTTCATTAAATATAGTTCGCCCACACATGATAAAGTCTCATTAATTATGTATAGCTTGCCCAGACACATGATACAGTCTCATTAATTATGTAAAGCTCGCCCAGACACATGCCCAAGGAAATAGAGCAACACAGAGGATTGCGATGACCACACTTGGTGCTCAGGAGAACAAGGTGACCCACTGCTAAAATATCTACAATAATGACAAGTGACAGTGAGAACCAGTGGGACATAGATGTAGAGACAATCAGTACTGTTAAACTATACCACCCTTGGCACCACACATAAGACCACACATGGTACCACACACTACCACACATAGTACAACACATGGCACACAAGACCACACATGGTACCACACATGATAACACATACACAGGACCTCACATAGCACTGAACATGAGACCACAGGGCACCACACATGGTACCACACATGAGACCACAAGGCACCACACATGGTACCACACACACAGCACCACATATTTCACCACACATAAGACCACATATGGTAAACCACATGAGACGACAGGTCATCATACATGGTACTACACAGGGCATTACACAGGAAACCACATTGCATTGCACATGGTATCACACATAGCATCACACATGGCTCTACACATGAGACAACAGGGCACCACACATGGTACTATGCACAGTGCAGCATATGGTACCATGCATGCTACCACCCATAGCACCACACATGTTACTGCACAAAACATCATACATGCTACCACCCATAGCACCGCACATGTTACTGCACAAAACATCATACATGCTACCACCCATAGCACCACACACGTTACTGCACAAAACATCATACATGCTACCACCCATAGAACCGCACATGTTACTGCACAAAACATCATACATGCTACCACCCATAGCACCGCACATGTTACTGCACAAAACATCATACATGCTACCACCCATAGCACCACACATGTTACTGCACAAAACATCATACATGCTACCACCCATAGCACCACACATGTTATTGCACATAACATCATACATGCTACCACCCATAGCACCACACATGTTACTGCACATAACATCATACATGCTACCACCCATAGCACTACACATGTTACTACACATAACATCATACATGCTACCACACATAGCACCACACATATTACTGCACATAACATCATACATGGTACCACACATAGCACTAGACATGGCAACACACACGATATCACATATAGTCCCATACAGGGTACCACACACAGCACCACACATGGTAGCTCACACAGCAACATGAATAATATTACACACAGAATCACACATGGTACCACACACAGCAGCACTCTCTATCTTCAAGTATGCTTATATTTTTGTCTATCCACTAGTATGTCTGTATGTTTGTACCTAGATGCTTTCCCCATGAACTGATTGTCTATCTGCTAACAGAAACAGCTTGATGATGCCATCAGGTTATTGGCTGACTACAAAAGTGGAAGTCTGCCTCCTGAAGTCACAGATGAACAGCTGTGGAAAGCTCAGAAGATTAAACAGGTTCAGTTTATGTTTAGTATCATGCACCAGTGACATGTCTCTGATAGAAAAGAGCTGTCATTGACAACATATGTGTCATAGAGGACACAAAATAATTGATTGATGTCATAGAGGACACAAAATGATTGATTGATGTCATAGAGGACACAAAATGATTGATTGATGTCATAGAGGACACAAAATGATTGATTGATGTCATAGAGGACACAAAATGATTGATTGATGTCATAGAGGACACAAACTGATTGATTGATGTCATAGAGGACACAAAATGATTGATTGATGTCATAGAGGACACAAAATGATTGATTGATGTCATAGAGGACACAAAATGATTGATTGATGTCATAGAGGACACAAAATAATTGATTGATGTCATAGAGGACACAAAATGATTGATTGATGTCATAGAGGACACAAAATGATTGATTGATGTCATAGAGGACACAAAATAATTGATGTCATAGAGGTCAGAAAATGATTGACTGATGTCATATGTTTAGACCGCTTGTATCATCATGATGTTATAACGTTTAAACAGAAACGGTCTACAACAACACAAATCATTCTTCAGGATGGTTTAAACAAGAAATATGTAGGTGCTCGGGGAAATAACTCCAGCAAATATTACATGTTAGTGATTGTGATGTTAGCGATTGTGGTGTTAGTGATTGTGATGTTAGTGATTGTGATGTTAGTTTTGCAGCAGTATGTGGATGGGGTAATCTTGCAAAAAGTGCAGTTGACCTAGAAAGGGCTGCCAAATCACATGTGCAAATTTCACCTTAGTACTGCTCACCATTTTTGTGACAGACAGACAGAAAGAACAAATGAACTTTATTATCAAAGGGTCACATACATCCGTACGTAATTAGGTACATACATAATAAGTGCTTAATACATGCATACACACACACAAGCACACACACACACACAAACACCCCCCACACACACACACACACATACACACATATAAATACATACATACATACATGCACACATACGTGCACACACATACACACATGCACACACGCATGCACCCACACACACATGCACACATACATGCTCGCACGCATGCATGCATGCACACGTACATGCACACATGCATGCACGCACGCATGCATGCATGCACACACACACAGACATATATATGATCAGTAAGATCTAGAGATGAGACAAAGACACTCACATCTGACAGATAGGACACTCACTAAACAAATGTTAGATCTAGAGATGAGGCAAAGACACTAACATCTGACAGATAGGACACTCACTAAAAACATGTTAGATCTAGAGATGAGGCAAAGACACTAACATCTGACAGATAGGACACTCACTAAACAAATGTTAGGTCTAGAGATGAGGCAAATTCACTAACATCTGACAGATAGGACACACACTAAACAAATGTTAGATCTAGAGATGAGGCAAATTCACTAACATCTGACAGATAGGACACACACTAAACACATGTTAGATCTAGAGATTAGACAAAGACACTAA